AGTGAATACTTGTTCTGAAGAATATTTGATATTAGCATTAAAATTACTTTTATCTGAATACATGAATATTTAAGATATGATGTCAGAAGTTATAAGAAAATATTATAAAAATAATTCCTATAAATTGGTTCAATAATTAAATAGTAATTAAAACTTTAAGATATCTACCTCACATTTTATCAAAAAAGGTAAATGAAATGATGCAAATCAAATCTCAAAGTCTTAAAAAATTTTAAAAAGAAGTTGAATTGATATTAAATGCTTAAAAGTAAATCAAAGACTCCTGATAAAGATCGTATAGGACACATGACAGTATTGGTTTTCCAGGTACTAATCTCACACTGTGCAGGCTTGGGATACCCACATCCCACTACTCAGAGTGGGTAGTTATAGCAAGCTCATCCAACTCACAAAGCTCTGAGGCAGAGAACTGGGGCGGCCCCTCGGTTCTCACATTATACAACAGCAGCAAACACATTAAGATGTTACAGAATTAAAAAAAATCATTTAATTTTTTGTGAAACAGTGATTTACAGAGGAATATTACGTACTCTATGTAGAAAACAACTACATTTATTTGCTAATGCAATTTTTTTTTTGAAAAATATTGGTGTTATTGGTGCTAGAATTGATTTTGGATGTGAAATTTTTTCTGCTTGGTCACTGTAAGTTGTGGGGGTCATATTAGTTGTTGGAAAATTAACATGTGGGAAATAGGAGATATTTCTGCTGTATTTATTTCCACCATAACACATTGCAATTGACACATGTAATGTATATTGCAATTTTCAAACACACTTTTCATGTTCTCAGATTATAGACTAGAAAAAATTGAGTTTCATAAACTCAACGAGTGTTGCCGATTTCTTTTCCCAATGTCTTTTCTAACACTTTCCATCCTATTTTAGAAGCAGCTAATATTTTAACTTCATGGTACGTTCTCTGGAAGAAATAAAATGTCTTTGCCTAGAAATCGCAAATATAAAACCTGTAAAATTGAGGATAATTTAAAATAACTTAAAATTTTTCCATACTGGAATAGTTTGTCTTAATATTTTTTTTTGTGTGTGTGAAATGATTACATTGTCTTGGAAGCATAATTACTATGAGACAGTGGCATACATACATTTAAAATATTTTAAACTGACATGCATGAATTGTTGATTAGAAAATGAGGATTTTCAATCTGGAAATATAGATTAGCAATGTCTATGAGTGTATATATTTAGAGCACAGCCTTGTGAAAGTATTTGCTGATCAAAGTTCCCCACTGATTGCCATGTTAATTCAATTCGGTGTCTGGTATTGGGAATTTTCATGGAATGTTTTATTTGCCTTATGATCTCTCCCTTAGACAGCCTTTTCACAAACTAGTACTATCTCGACCTGAGAGACTTCAGGGGTGGATCCCTCAATTTCCTTCTGGTTGCTTGGATACAGAAATTTGTTACTGGAGTCAGCTGGGGCTGACCTTCAATTGGCTCCTTTTATTACTGGAGCGCAGGGCACACAGACTGCACCTGGGAATGATAGAAGAGGACAAGACAAAAATCAGCATTTCTGTGGAAAGAGCTAAGTGGAAATATGTATTCAGGTTGTTCTTGGTCTGACCACCTCCTAGTCACTCCATTGAGGAAGGATACTTTCTAACCAGTGTGAGAGGAACAAACACACAGCCCTGGACAGAGGAGAGAGTGGACACTGAATGAATGACACACTCAACAGGGGAGCATAGTAGCCAGGCAGACATGAGGGTGCACTGGCAGCAGAGAGAACAGGCTGCAGGAAGCAGGCCTTGCTGACACAAGAGGTGCAGGGTGATCTTGGGTTCCTATGAGGGGATGTGAAGGTCTTGTCTAACATTTCTCTGGCACAGTGGCAGAATTCATTAGACTGAAGACAGGATAGGTTGAAAAGAGTTCAGTGGACGGGGTGGGGTGAGGTGGGTAGGGTGCCTTTGCTTTTCAGTGGGTGTTATACTTGGCAAAAACAAGAGAACTCACCACTCAGAGCTAGCTTATTAGGATCTTGGGAAGCTCAAGAATGTCAAGGAAGCATGTAGAATTTTTGTCTTTATAAAACAGCTGTTTGGATTAGAAGTTTGGTGGAGGAGCTGAGTGGACGCATGTGGTCCATTGGGCAGCTGCAAGGCCGCAAGGTAGGATCAGGCTGTAGTTGGAGCCAGTGCAACCCTGTGTCATGAAGAAAAGGCTTACCTGTCTACAAGGAAAGGTGATGAGTACCATGGATACCATCCATACGTGACAGGTGAAGTTCCAAGGGCTACAAACTGGCGTTGGGCTCATCAGACCCAGCAGAATGCTTGAGTAAGGAAGGGCAGAAGCTTTCACGCCTGCCTTAAGATTGGATTCTTACCGGATCTGTGGCTTCTGGAAGCTTATTTAATGTCTTCATACTTCTGTTTTCTTATCAGCACTGTAATAGTCTATAACTGTCTCACGGGATGGTTGAAGTGTTAAATGGCCTAATTCCTGTAGGTGCTTTTAGATACTGCCTATAAATAATGCTTGGGTACAGAAGTTCCCTAAGCAATTTTTGAAGGTGGCCTAAGCAGTTGTTAGTCAGCTAGGACAAATCAGAGTTGCGGACTGTGACGGCAGGCATCAAGATCACCCAAATCATACTGAAGATTTTTTCTCTTACAAGGTCCTAAGCTGGTAAACTGTAGCCGGTTACCGCCAAGTACCATGGAAACCTGCATTGAGATTACTAAAGCGTATTTTAAATAATGACCATTTTGAATAGTCTCCCATCTAAAGATATTGACATTTTGAAAGCGAGCACAAAGCCTTGTGACATAAAAGACATTCAATAAATGTTTATTGAACAATTTTTGAAAAATGAGGCATTATAACAATCATATTATGGAAATTCTTCTCTAGCTTCATTTGTAATATTTGCAAGTACATTGAACAAATGATTAATTATGGTGCAATGCATAGAGATTGCTCTAGGATGTTTGTGTGAAAGGCCCTGCGCGTTGTATTCTCATTGTGAGATGCAAACTCGTCGCAAAGTTTCATGGCAAAGATGCACACTTTTAATTTGGGTGGCTGGCATGAAGATTCCCAGAGGAAGACACTTTTCCAAGCCACTCCTTGGTAGTAGTAGGGGATAGGAGGAAAAAGGAAAATGCATATGTTGTTGGCTGTGGACTGTTTTCTGTTCATTTATTTGGCAGGCGAAGAAATACAAAGGGGAAGTGAGCAAAAGATAGATACAGATGCGGAGGAGGAGAGAGAAGAGGGGAAACTGTGAAAGCCAGACCTTCCACGGAGCAGCGAGATTGAACTGCTGGAGCTGTCATCCGCTGCTCCCGGGATCTGCACCAGTGAAAGGCAGGAAGGGGGCAGGCGAGCAAGCGAGCAGGCACCGTGACTAGGAAAATGTCACATCCACGCCAAACGCCAGCCTCAGTGGGGCCTCACACAGACGAAGCACAGTTACTTTCTCGTTAGGTCTTAACTAATTTCTATCACGATTCTCCTGTTAGTTTTGTTTAAATAAATTAAAACCTCACTGAGAGCTTGCTCACATCTTTGTAAGCACCATTATAGGTATACATAGGTATATGTATGCATGTACACATACGTAGGAATTCAGGGAATTTATGCTCACAGCCAAGTGTTCCCGATTGTTCTCCAAGGCCATTGCTCTGGAATGACTAATGCAAATAACCTGCTGGGTGAAAAGTTCTGCCTTTCATATCAAGCGGTCATTAAAAAAAAACTCATGACACTTCTCTAAGACCTATTTTTTTTTTTTTTAAATCACTATCTCTTGGCAAGGGTTCAAATTCGAGATGAAATTTCTCAAAAGCTGTTGAGGCATCCATCTTCCCGCAGCCCCGGCTGTGGTGTTTCCTGGCTGAGCACTCTGCTCAGGTGGCGGTGATCCTTCAGCTGGTGAGGGAGTTAGCTTCACCAAGCGCTCCCAGCCCTTTGGATGAGGGTGTCCAACGCGTTCCTTTGGTAAAGTGCCAATGGACAACACTCCTTTGAATTCATTTTGAAGCGTTCCTTTCTTGATCTTCCTGGAGAGGGTCTCCCCTGAGCACTCTACTTCAGTTGTTCTCTGATAAATGTTCAAGGGAAATTCCACACGAGGTAGCGCTCGGAAGGACCCCTACAGATACGACGTACTGAGGGAAAATATGCTCAGGTGACGAGGGAAGCCACGGAACTTCCCGCAATAGCAAGAACGTGCAGCTCTCAGGTGTTAAAAATTCCGTTCGGAAAACTGTGTGGTTCCTAGAATGAATGCTCTGCAGCAGTATATAAAAAACAGAAATTGTATCTTCTCATGTACATTCTTAGACGCTTCCCTGTGAAGTGCTCCTCAGACTCTCCGTTGGGTTTCTTGTTTTGTGTCGGGCCCAGATCCCACTGCACAGTTTACACACACATCCCCACGTAGATGCCTTGATTTCTAGAAACGTTCCATGACGTTCCATCCTCCTTGCACTTGGTCCCTCTTCCCTCTGCGCCTCCTCCTCCGTCCTCAGGCCGGGCAGGGCGCTCCAGGTCTCTGCTGCGCGGCTTTGGGCCGGTCCACTGCCTTTCTGCGGTCTCTCCAGCTGGGGGCCGGCCTGGACCACGGCTGGCGGTGCGGCGCGGGGCAGCGCGCGGGGGCGGGCCTGTCCGCGGGGCGGGGCTTCCCGTGGCGCGGGTGGGCACGGCGCAGGTTGGCGCTGCGAGCGAGCCCGCCGCGGATGCTGGCGAGCGTCCTGCGGCTCCGGCGCTTGTTCTCCGCCCGCGCAGCGTCGGCTCGCCTCAGCCGGAGGAGGGGAGACCCCGCCGCGTCCCGCCCCTGGCACTCCGGCGTCTTAGCTGCGGGGCTCCAGAGGAGAGACCCACTTGCTCGCAGGTGAAGCGGTTTCACAGCAAGGTCCTGAGGGGCACCCGCCGTGCCTTCCCAGCGCACGCCGCACAGGGCGCCTGAGGAGGAGCGGGGTCCTCCGCCGGACGAGGTGGCCCGGACACCGACGATGGGAGCGCGCACCTGGCGCGTGGGCTTCCGCTGTCTCCTCCTCTTGGTTCTGGCTGGGTCCGCCCGCAGCCAAGGCGAACAGACGTGCGAAGAAGTTCGGAAACTTTTCCAGTGGCGGCTGGCGGGTGCGGCCAAGGGGCTGCAGGATTCGCCGCGGGCAGGTGAGGCGCGGCGCCCCGGGTGCGGCGAGGCGCGGTGCGGGGCGGCCGAGCGCCGGCCCCGCGCTGACCCCGGGCTGGGGAGTCCGAGCGGACTCTGCAGCCGCCGCCGTGGATGCGGGTGTGGCTGCTCTGCGGGTCTGGTTGGCTCGGGAGGCGGACTGGAAGGTGGGGGAGCTCCGTAACTGCGCCTGCGGCCGAGCCGAGCCCGGGGCGCCCGCTTCCCGCTCGCCTCCTCTCAGGCTCGGAGAAGGCGCAGAAAGGCGCCAGCGAGCGGGGAGGACGGAGGCTGAATTTCCGACTTAGCTGTGTGTCCCGCTTGGGAGTGCTTGGGATTGCTGCCTCTCACGAAGCGGGAGTTCTCTTGGTCCCCCCAAGTTTGGTACTAAACACACAACCCTGTCCGATGTTCCTTTGCAACCTGGTGCTCCGAAAAGAGGGTTCGGGCCCTTGTGCCTCCGCCAAGGGACACTGCTCTGGGGAGGGTCTGCTCCACTCCCTGGTGCCCACCCTCGCCCCAGTGCAGGAGCCCAGCCAGGTGTCTCTCAGACAGCTTGGCAGTTTCAAGTGAGAACCGTGAGCTTAGGGCAACAGGCGACCGCACTGAGTGTGTTGGGGACCGCGTTACAGCATGACATGGACAGGACCCTGCAAAGGAACGCCTGCGCTTGGCTTGGCTGGAAGAGACCGTGCGTCCTGCCCGCGCCTCTGCCCGCGCCTTCACCCCCTGGCAGGCTCCACCGCCGAGGGGAGTCCCGTGTGCCTCCCGTCAGCGTGCGCACGAGTCTTGTCAACCACAGTAGCAGGTGTCTGGAGCGCAAAGGTCTGGCTGGAGCAATGTGCCGCTTTAGCTGCGGCTGTGGAGCCAGCATGCATACATTACGTTGTGAGGTTGATTGAACAAAAGGGTTCCTGGAGGATGTTTGAGTCCAGAATCTGTTTCCAACCCGAGTTTCCAGGATGGGGAGGCTTGCCCTGGGCATTCCCGAGCTCGAGCAGCTGTGCTTGAATGTTGGCTGGTTGTGAACTCAGTTCTTGCCCTGAGAGGAAAATCTGGGTATTTGGAGAGACTGAAGCCATTTGCCCATTTTTCAACGCACACGTGTTGGAAGGCACAGTGAGTGCCAGGTGCCTTATCCACACTTCTTGAAACAGCATAGCCCATGCTCTCAATTTTGGCCACTTTTCTGTTGTCAGGCAAAATAATATTTTTAAAGTCTGTATATTTTTTTATTACAGTGCGTTATTCAGACAGACACCTTGCTTATCAGTTGTTGGGAAAATCAGTGTGTGCATGCGCGTGTGTTGTGTAGGTGTGTGTTGGCACGGGGGGAGGCCTCACCTTAGTTGTTAGATCCTTGCCTTCAGAGTCCTTTAAGTTTGAGATGTTCCACGCGTGTTGGTGGCTTTACAGTGGGGCCTGCTCAGTATTTTTTGCTGAGTGCAGCATCTTGACTTGTAGCTGAAACATTTCTAGAACTTTGTGTGTTCAGTCTTTGGAGGAGGAACTTCCCGGAGATAATGCTTCCCCGGTTATTCAGGGAAAGTAGAAGCTCTGTCCTGGAGACAAGAAATGGCTATCATTACCTGCATGTATAATTCATTCAGCACAAGGAAAGGTGTCTCGTGTGTGTGTGTGTGTGTGTGTGTGTGTGTGTGTGTGTGTGTGTGTGGGGTCAGTCTCTGCTTTTCTCTGCCCTTCTGTGTGGTTTGTGGCTCACGGTGGTTCAGGACCCGCGGCCGCCCCAGCTAAGGACTGTGCTGTCGCTGCACTGAGTCCTCAGGCAGAGGGGGCAATGCCAAGTTCCTTTGACGTTTCCATTAAGTTGACGTTGCCATGAAGAAGTCACACGAAAGAATTATTCTGACTTAGATTCACCCAATAAAAGGCTTTCATCTATGCATTTAATAAAGGTCTGTTTTCCTTTCTTCCTGTCTTGTTGGTCACTCTTTCATGTGAATAGTTGATCAAAGTATTAAACTCATAATAAAAAATATTAAACTCATAATCAGTAGATGACTGTCTTCCCATTAAGAAATCTCATTCTCAAGTGGAATAGACCAGATGCTTCATCAGTATTCTTCCTTGTTTTTGTATTTAAATGTGATCTTTTTTCCCTCAATGTGATTCAGTATACTGCATAGTTAATATATAGTTGTTTGAACATGAAAATACAAATTTTGCCATTCTTTTCAGCGAATGCATTTACTTGGCTAACACCAGTACATTCAGCTTGATAACTGTTTTCATTGAAAGCTTTTTCATGTGTGTCTTCTTGAATTTCTTGCCATGTCAGTTAGTTGCTGAGATGTCTAACCAGCGTGTTGTTTTAAGGTAGAAAACTTTTCACATTTTTCCCCCTTACTTGTTACATAAACATCTTCTGGAAACTCTAACCAATAGGAAATTATGAACATGAGAACAGCCATGAGAACTGTTTCTCAGACTCCTTAATCTTTGCTCTCACTCTGCCCCAATTCTTTTAAGTCAGTTGAGCTCTTAAGTATACTCGGATGAGAAACGTGAAACAGGAGCGATGGTGCCACGTGGTTGGAATGACTGATTTCCCTGTATTTTGGTCTGATTATCTAAGTAGTAGTCAGGATGTGTTTGCTCTTATTTGTTTTTACTCAGAAAAGAACTGTTAGTGAAACATATTTTTATTTCTCGGGGAGGGGAAAATGCTTTCCCATTGAAATTCTCTTCACATGGGCATTGTTCGCACTTGCATCCCTTCTTGGAGAGGACATTTGGAAAGAAGAAGTTTGTAAAAACGCCAAGACGACATTCAGAACTGATGTACCAATTTGTTTTCCTTTTTTTAAAGACGTGGTTGTACATTGGTAGAGAATTTGCTGCTACAACTCTACATCGAGTTAGTGAAAGATAACTGCTAGATTTTGACTACACATGGAATAAGATAGGTCTGTTATTGATGTGCAAATTGGAATCTTAATTCTTTTTTTTTTTTTAAGATTTATTTATTTTTGTTACGAAGTCAGATAGAGAGGAAGATCTTCCATCCTATGATTCACTCCCCAAGTGACTGTAACGGCCAATGCTGAGCTGATCTGAAGCCAGGAGCTTCTTCCAGGTCTCCCACGCGGTTGCAGGGTCCCAAAGCCTTGGGCTGTCCTCGACTGCTTTCCCAGGCCACAGGCAGGGAGCTGGATGGGAAGTGGAGCTGCTGGGATTCGAACCGGTGCCCATATGGAATCCCAGCGCGTTCAAGGCTAGGACTTTAGCCACTAAGCCATGCCACTGGGCCCAGAATTCTTTAAGACATTTGTAAGTACCGTAGTATAGTTTTTTCCTTCAAATCTGCTTTCATATAGTTGAATCTTGTAGTCACTTTAAACACAGTGCTGTTTTATTGTCACACCCAAGAGAAACAATCTACCTTGAAACAGTGGTGTTTGCAATTATAGAGGCAATGGGTTTCAAAGCTTGAGTCTGCCACTGTGGGTTTGTATCCTAGGCTCATCAGTTACTGTCTTCAACTTTTACTTCCCCATCTAAACTGGAAGTTTTCTGAAATGAAACAGTATATAAAAAATAGCACCAATCCTGGCACATACCGAGTGCTGACGAATATGTTCCTGCTGTCGTTGTCTGGTCTGCCCTCTGTAGTTACAGACTGTGCATCTGTAGACTCAGCCAACTGAGGACTGAAAATACTCAGAAATTGTGTCTGTACTGAACACCTGCACACCATTTTTTAATTCACCAAACAATACAGTACAACAGTTATGTGACATTTACATTATATTATGCACTATTAGTGATATGCACTATTGAGATGTTTTAAGATATACTCTTCAAAAAATATGTTTGTAGATTAATGCAAATATTATGCATGTTGAATAAGCTCTTTGGAATTTGGTATCCTTGGAGGGTCTAGAACTTAAACGTCATGGCTTGTTTTTTTTTTTTTTTTTTTTTTATATCTGTATTGGAAAGTCAGATATACAGAGAGGAAGATCTTCCCTCCATTGATTCACTCTCCAAGTGGCTGCGGTGGCTGGAGCTGAGCCAATCTGAAGTCTTTCCGTGTCTCCCATGTGGGTGCAGAATCCCAAGGTTTTGGGCCATCCTCGACTGCTTTCCCAGGCCACAAGCAGGGAGCTGGATGGGATGTGGGGCTGCCAGGATTAGAACCAGCACCCATATGGGATCCGAGCACATGTAAAGCGAGAACTTATAGCCACTAGGCTACCATGTCAGGCCCAGCATCATGGATCTTAAGGGACAAACCTGTTCTAGGTTTTCACTTGATTTTAAGGATGAAGTTTTATGTATCTTTTTTTTTTTTTTTTTTTTTGTAATCAAGAGTTGAGTTTTTCTTAGTCCTGAGTGTTTATTTCTAAAGTTGGAAAATATATTTGTCTGAAGTTATCTTTATCCAATTATTTGGTAATATTTCTTTCTGGGAACTACTACGATTTTATGACAAAACAGAACTGTGTTCTATTTGCACAGTTTCAACACCCATATATCACCACATTCACTGTTTCCCACCACATTTTAAAAAAATTTTATTATTTTTTTTGTAAGTGACAAAGAGGAATAGAGACAGAGATCTCTCACTTACTGGTTTAATTCCACAGAGCGGAAATGGCCAGAACTGGTGCAGCCAAAATAAAGAGGCAGAAAACCATTAGATCTCACACGTGCATGCCAGGAAGCCACCAAATTTCAGGGACTCTACCTCTAGGTTCATCACCTGCCTCCCATCATGTGGGCTTGCAGAAAGCTGGAACTGGGAGCAAGCCCAGGTCTTGAACTCAAGATGTGGGCAAGCCAGCTAGCATCCTGAACAGTGTGTCAGACACTCAGCACCACCATCGGATTTTGTCTCTCCCTTCAGGTAAAACATTATGTATGTGGTAATTTAAGGAAGTCACAAAATTAGATGGCTGCTAGTAATAGTCACTCAAGGATAGTTATCTCAATTGAGGAGTTTTTTTTTTTAAGTTTTACTTTTCTTTGAAAGGCAGATTTA